AGACTAAGATGACAAATTGATCAATACATTGACATTACAGAAACTGATGGTGCTTTAAGCTGTGGGGCAATGGGCTGTGTGCCGGAAGGTAGGATTAGAATAGCCATCTGTTTGTCTTTGGGTTGGATTGGACAAGATAGGCCGATAGGCCAACATCCCTCTTCAGTGCTATATCATTTCAATGGATGTATGGTTCTATATCAATCTGTCCCTGTCAGTCTCTGCTGTGTGAATACATAAGTAATTTAACAAAGGCTTAGATTGTGTGAGTGTAGTTATCATTCACCAAGTAGGAACTGACCCACTTGCATTGGGTAGCCCCATTCATGGAACTGTACACCTGTTGGTTAGTTTCTGGACTTCACTCAATTGGTATGGAATTAACAAAAAGAAAAATCACCAGACAGGGAGCAGCTTAGAGCAAGAGTGGCATCAGACACACAATTCTGTTCAAATTCCTGGCTTGAAATAAAATATTGTAATGATTATGAACTAAACATTGCATTGATCAATTAAATATTATCAAACTTGGCTGATGTTGATTTACAGGAGGTTTTTCTTCTGTCTTTCTCCAGGCAAATACTTGAAGGACGAAGAGAAAGTGATATTCCCTCAGTCCAAAGCCAAGTGTGACCAGCTGCTTCTAACAAACAGAAGGTATTTTACCGCTGTCAGAGCAGATAACATCCTTCCCACAGGCACAGAGCAGATTGAGTCAGACATACATTGAAGTCAATTTCCAGCGAGATATGCTCAAACAACACAGAGGAAATACAAGTTTTTTTTTTCACCATTCACAATGTACACCTGCCCAGTTTGAACAAATTTCAGCGTTTAAAGTTTGGCAAAGATCTGCAGCTCGGGTAGTTGCTGGGATAATGTTGCTGACTTGCTCGCTGAGCTGGCTTGTTTTTGTTCAGACGTTTTCATCACCATGCTCGGTGACATCATCAGTGGAGCCTCTGATGAAGTGATGTGTTCTACTCCGCATGGAATTTATACTGTCTGGTCCGTTATGGTGAGTACTGTCATTTCTGGTTTTGATCTGTATGAGTTTATATATGGGGTCCGATTCTATATGTTTCTTGATTGAAGTATGGATGGAAAACCATGCCTCTAGGAATTCCCATGTGCGTCTATGCTTGGCTTGGGCTACGATGGTTACTTTGTCCCAGTTAACCTGATGGCCTTCATTGTCTGAATATACAATACATTCAGACAATGAAGGCCATCAGTTGAAATGGGACAAAGTAACCATATAAAAACTGAAAGAACTGTGGATGCTGTAAATCAGGAACAAAAGCAAAGTTGCTGGAAAAGCTCATCGGTAACTGGTTCTGAGGAAGGGTCACTGGACCGGAAAGGTTAACTCTGTTTTTTCCTTACAGATTCTGCCAGACCAGCTGAGCTTTTCCAGCAATTTTGTTTTTGTTGGACAAAGGAACCATAGTAGCCCAAGCTAAACATAGACATGCACAGAAATTCCGAGAGGCATGGTTCTCCACACAAACATATAGAATTGGACCCCATATATAAATCCATACAGATCAAAACTGAAATGACAGTACTCACCATAATGGACCAGACAGTATAAATTCCACACGGAGTAGAACAACATCGCTTCATCGAAGGCTCCACTGACAATATCACCTAGCATGGTGACGCAACGTGTGAACAAAAACAAGCCAGCTCGGTGAGCAAGTCAACGTCACATTTCAGCATTCATAGCCCATTGACATTTACACCAGTTTTGAAGATGGATGGACCGAATATTCGTCCCAAATATACACTCAGGAACTGAATCTAAGCTGCGTTAAATCACCCTAATAACAACTACCACATAACAAATCGCATTCTCACTGAGAATATTACGGGCTGCCAGAGAGTTAAGCCACGTTATCAAATCGAAACTGACAAGCATGTATTGATAGCTCTGCTCATTCATTCACATTGCAGAAACAGGCAAAAACAGATTGATGATGACACTCACATATTGACATAGCAAAACTAACAGGTAAAGTTTGCTAAAAACATTCACAAGTTCACATTATAAAAAGGTATATGTACACATTAATAACTATGCTCACATATCAAACTAACAGGACCTGACATATTCACATCATAGAAACACAGAAGAGCAGATTGATAATAACACTCCCAGATTCACAGCATAACCTGACAGGTCCAATTTTATAACTGCATTCAAATATCCACAGATTTAAAAAAAAACTGTCAGGTGCAGTATGATAACTGCACTCCACTTTTCACAAGCAGATTCTCACAGGTACATATTGATTACTAACCTCACATATCCATACAGCAGAAACTGACAGGGACATGTTGATAACTAGTCACACCACTAATATTGTGGTAATAGTGATGGATAGATTCATGACACTCAGATGTTCACATGACAGAAACTGCCAAATAACTACATTCTCATTCACATTGCACTTTCCAACAAAAACAGGTTAATAACTACAATTACAGATATCAGAAAGTATGAGGTACAAATGAATAACTGTGCTGCAACATTCACCTGGCAGAAACTGGCATTGCAGATCAGTAACTGATCTCAAATGTTGAAATAGCAGAACCTGTCAGGTAGAGACTGAAAGTGCTAAAATAAAAACTGACTGGTACAGATTGATAAATAAAATCACATTCAAATTTCAGAAACTGGCAGGAACAGATTAGTAAATATGCTCACAGATTCACACAACAATAACTGTCCTAGAAAGATGAGTAAGCACACTCGTATTCACAATGCAGAAATTGATAAGAGCAAAGTGATAATTACACACCCAGTTTTACAACAAATTAACTGACAGGTACAGTTTTGATAACTACATTCACATGTTCAGACAAGAAACTGACAGGCATGTATTGACAGTCACATTTGCACCTAGCAGAAATTGACAGTCCAGATCAATCTGGACATAGCAGAAACTAAGAGGGCCAGGTTAATAACTACAGTCACACTCTTGAATTGCACTAACTGACAGCCACACATTAATGACAACAATTACATTTTCACGTGATAGAAACGGACAGGTACAGATAATAAATACATTTCCATATTCCCAATGCAGAATCTGAGACAGAGGCTGTGAAATGAACATAAACATATGGATAACTAAACTCTCATTCACAGCAGAAATTGGTAAATACACGCACACACGTACATAGCAAAGACCTGATAGCGACAGATTGATAACTACAATTACACATTCACACAGGAGAGAGCTTCACGGATAGACTGATAATTACACAAGCATAATCACTGGAGGAACTGATTGGGACAGATTGATTACCACACACACATTCGGTCAGCAGAAACTGATGGACAGATTGTGAGGGAGTAATAATCATTCACCGAGTGGAAGCTGAAATGGCAGATCGAGAACTGCACTCCCATTTTTATACAGCCAATAATGAGAAATAAAACTAACCCTTAGTCAACCTGAAATTCTGAACAACACAATATCATTCACACTGTAATCAGGGACTCATTGATAGTGATAAAACAAAAAAAAATCTACACACAAGAGATTGTCACAATTAAAATTTGCAAGAGGTACTGTGTTCAAAATATTCTTAAATGACAATAATCAGTGTGAGTACAACTGACGTGTTGACAAATAAAGTTCAGAGAAAATCCATGAAAAACAATTATTGCTGGAAACTGAAATGCACAAAATAACATCTACACTAATTAAGTGCAAAGCAAGATTCCAGGAACTGAAATGTAGGCAGAAAGCTGCTGACACTGATTGAAGAGCCGAAGGGATAGAGAGTAAAATTTATGTAATCAGCAGAATGCGAAAGGCACGGGTCACAGTACATCAGTTCTCTTTTGTCATCGAGGTCATCCGAGTAAAACTGATACCGATACACGCTGGCAGGTAGTTTGATGAAAGTATGAATAGTTTGGGCCTATACTCATTGGAGATGTGAAGAAGGACGTCAAACCTTTCGAGGAAACGAAAACTGGAGGGTGTTGACGGAGCAGATGCTGGTATAATGTCCTTAAACTTCAGAGAGTGTAGAACAAGAAACACGAGCAAGAGAGAACATTCCCTCACTCCCATGTTCATCAAGCACGATGCAATTGTCAGGAGTTCCATCATTTCCAGGAGTGAAACACACCACTGTCAGATTTCAGTGCATTTTGTCACTTGACAACTAACGTGATGACATTTTTAAACGGAGGAGAAAAGAAAACCATTATCAAAAGATGTAGAATAAATCGCGATTAGGATCTCACGATTTAGAGAAAGCTCGGAGTTTGATCCGTGTACAAAATTTCGACTTGCGTTTGAAATTTCATTGCAGATCCACGTTGTGTCCCACACTAACCAATCACAGAAAGGCTAATGTCATGTTTTAACATTCTTGTAAACTACCCATTCAGGGACAAGGTTTTCTCCCATCCTTCATTCGCATTGCTGAAGCCGTCAGGCGAGAAAAAGCGAGCTCTGAGCCCGCTTTCTCTTATTCTGTGTTGGATATTGACTGTCGCAATGGTAGAGGAAAAGAAAGGACAAGTTGCCAAGAAGGGCGCTAAGAAAGTGGTGAAGAGGGCGCCAGCGAAAAGCGGCAAGAAGAGGAGAAGGTCCAGGAAAGAAAGTTATTCTATCTACATCTACAAAGTGATGAAGCAGGTTCACCCCGACACCGGCATCTCCTCCAAGGCCATGAGCATCATGAACTCATTCGTCAACGATATTTTCGAGCGCATCGCGGGGGAGGCTTCCCGCCTGGCCCATTACAACAAGCGCAGCACCATCAGCTCCCGGGAGATCCAGACCGCCGTGCGGCTGCTGCTGCCCGGGGAGCTGGCCAAGCACGCCGTGTCGGAGGGTACAAAGGCGATGACCAAGTACACCAGCTCCAAATGAGACACCACAGTGTGCTGAAAAACACACAACCAAAACCCAACGGCTCTTTTAAGGGCCACCCACAGCTTCCCTGAAACAGCTGAACTATTATGTTAATGTCTGTACGACATTTGTATTTTATAAATCTTCTGTAAATTAACAAGTGATCCCTGACCCTGTGCGCGCTTGTTCTCGGAAGAGTTCATACACATCTGTAATCGCTGCCTGTGGACAGGGATCATGTTAAACACCAATGAGCTATTTTGAGCAATTTCTGTGTGATCGTGATACCCTCTGTCACTCAATCGATTCAGAAGCGACAAGACCTGGTGGGGTATGCAAAAGGGCAAGCAAGAAAATATACTTTTCCTCCGAGTTCTATTTCACCGTTTTGTTTTATTTCCAGATCTCCTCGCGGGTTTTGTCGGGTTGCTGAAGCTTTTTGCTGTCGGGGAGATACTTTCAAAATGAGCCGAGATAAAACCAGAACAGCTGCCGGACTGACATAGTAAATGTGGAGCTTTTGCTGAACTCTGATCGAGTGCAATAAGGGAGGGCCGCTTTTAAATATTCTCGAAAAACGGTGTCCGCAATTAATGCGCTCACCTGGAAGAACGTTATCGAATGTTTTATCAACTTATCGGGTGTTTTTGTAATGCGAAATAAATTAGTTGCAGAGTGCAGATTTTGGCGCTTTTTTGTTTCCGCTTGCATTTAATGTTCAGAAAATCCGATTCTTGGTCAGAAATTGACATATTCAAGGAGGTGAGGGAAAGGGAGATTATGTAAAGTATACATTCAGAATCTAAAAGTAAATTAACTCGAGTATTCGTGCGTTCTATTGTGTTAACCTTCCTACTTTTTGGTACATATTGGCGGGCTTTTCAAATCAGAAAGAAAGCATTTGATGATTTGGCGCCGGTATTTTCCGGCCTCCTCCCCGGGCCCTCTCCGGATTGGTGAGTGAAGCAGATATCTGATTGGGAATTGAAACGACATTAAGAGAAGCTAAACAATGTGGCCAATCATCAATGACCACACCACCATTCCTCCCGAAGGTATAGGAGGCCGGAATGTGGGCGGGTTGCAGCATTTTCTGTGAAAGTGTTTGTGAGATTATGGTCATGTATGGGAGAGGAAAGGGCGCTGGTGGGAAAGCTCGCTCCAAGGCGATGTCCCGGTCGTCCCGGGCTGGCCTGCAGTTCCCAGTGGGCCGTATTCACAGGCTCCTGAGAAAGGGTAACTATGCTGAGCGTGTGGGTGCCGGAGCGCCGGTCTCACTGGCTGCGGTGCTCGAGTATCTGACAGCTGAAATCCTCGAACTGGCCGGTAACGCGGCCCGGGACAACAAGAAGACCCGCATCATCCCCAGGCACCTCCAGCTGGCCGTGCGCAACGACGAGGAGCTCAACAAGCTGCTGGGAGGGGTGACCATCGCTCAGGGTGGGGTGCTACTTAATATCCAGGCTGTGCTGCTGCCCAAGAAAGCCGCCGCTGGGGGCGCCACTAAAAAGTGAAGAGACCGTTATTTCATCTGAGAACCCAAAGGCTCTTTTAAGAGCCACCCACAACTTCAGTGAAAAGCAGCTAGACCATCCCCTCTGTCGGAATGTCTTTTTGTGCATTAATTGTTTGATGTCCGTTTCAGTCCCTTTGTTATTTGATACTCTTACTGTCACTGTGTGTATGATCTAACATGAAATCTTGACTAACAAGCTGCAGTCAGTCACGTTCACGGAACAGCTGAAATGCATGGAGAGTGAAACGTTTATCACGAATTTATCATGAATCGCAATTGTAATAGCGTTCGGATTGCATTATTTGTTATTGCTCTGTAACTGCCTGTGACTTTAATCATCGTCATATAAATGCATTTGTGCCTCGCTCATAACCAGTTTCGTATTTCCTGTAACTGCATTTGAGAAGAGCTGAAATGACCCAATGCATCAAGTGGTAAGTATGAGATAACAGTGTGGAGCTGGTGGAGCACAGTAGGCCAGGCAGCAGAAAAGTTGACTTTTCAGGTCAGGACCCTTTTTCTGAAAAAGTCAACTTTCCTGCTTCTGTGCTGCCTGGCCTGTTGTGTTCCTCGAGCTCCACATTGTGTTATCTCAACATCCTGGTAAATCTTTTCTGAAGCTCCTCCAGTGCAATAATATCCTTCCCAAATAGGGTGACCAGAACCTGATATAGTGCTTCAGTAAAAGCACTAGTCAAAACCAAAACTATCCCTAACCATTCTCTGAAAACCCCCACATACCCCGTACATATGAATCGTATCTTTTGGAATCACCTCCAACAATGTACCCACCACATAATTCAGACTCACAGGCCTATACTTACTAAGCTTCTCCTTACATCCCTTCTTGAAAATAAAGGCACATTAGACTACCTCCAGTCATGCCGCACCTCACTCGAGTTATAGATGGTACAAACATTACTGCAAGGGTTTCTGCAATTTCAATCTTAACTTCCTACAATATTGTCAATACAGTATATCAGATTCTGGACATTTATTCAACTCTATGCTTTCTAAGACCTCCAACGCGTCCTCTTGTGTAATATGAACTGTTTTCAAAATATCAATACTTATTTCCCAAGTTCTCTAGCTTCTATTTCTTTCCCCCAACAATTTTATTTGTGAAATATTTGTTTTCTATTCCTCCTGTCTTCCGAGTTTCAAAAGTCAAATAGGTAGCCTTTGTATTAAGAGCTCGACTCTTTTTCTCTCTGATCACTCGCTTGCTTTTAATGATCTTGCAGAATCTCTTTGGATTATCCCAAACTTTAACACCAAAGCTATCTTGAATCCCCTCTTTGCTTTCCTGATCTCTTCAGAACACCCCTACACTCCATAGTGCTCCCTCACTATCACATCAGTAACTAGCCCTGCCGTATTACCGATAAAAAGGTATTTTTTTTTCTCCTGTCTCTACACTCATTTGAACCCAGTCGTCTCTATCTAATACGATTTCTTTTGTATTCCCAACGAGAACCTCAATATCTTTATTAATCCATTGTTCCTTTATCCTGCCAGCTTACCTTTTACTCTAAGACGATCATATTAACTCTGAACTTTCACATGACACTTGTGAATGCCTACCACTTATCAGACATCCCCTTACCTGTGAACATTCTACTACCAATGGGTGGCACAGTGGTTAGCACTTCAGAGCGCCAGGGGCCTGGGTGCGATTCCAGCTTTGGGCGACTGTCTGTGTGAGAGTTTGCACATTTTCCCCATGTCTGCGTGGGTTTCCTCCAGGTGCTCTGGTTTCCTCCCACGGTCCAAAGATGTGCAGGGTAGGTGGATTGGCCACGCTAAAATTGCCCATTGTGCCCAGGGATATTTAGGTTAGGTGGGTTAGATAAGGGAATGGGTCTGAGTGGGATGCTCTTGGAGGACGGTGTGGACTTGTTGGGCCAAATTGCTGTTTCCACACTATTGGGATTCTATTGTATGGCTTTTGAAAGTTCTTATCTCATACCATTAATATTTGCCTTACTTCAATTAAAAATTTTGACTTCCAAGGAAGTATTATCTTTTTCATAACTAGTTTAAGGCTAATAAAATTACCATCATAGACCCGAAGTGTTACTGCACTATCACGTCAATCACTAGCCCTGCCCTGTTACTGAAGAAAACGTTTTTTATTTCCCTGTCTCGACCAAGAATATTTACATGTTAAAGAAAACTTTCTTGAACACAATTAGCAAGTTCTTCACTATCCAGACCTTTGACACTAGTGTAGTCCCACTCAACCTTTGGAAAATTAAAATAACCTATTACAACATTATTATCCTTACTTATGTCTGAGATGTCTCTACACATATGTTCGTCAATGTCCATTTGACTATTCTGGGGCCTACTAATACAATCTCAGCAAGGTGATCATTCCTTTCCTTTTTCTAATTTCAACCCACATATTTTCGCTGGACAACTGTTAAGAAATATCTTCAATAGTTACAGCAGTAAGGTGTAAACTGGAATAAGGGAGGGAGACTTTAAAACTAATGAAAAGACGGTGTCCCTATCAATACATCGATCGGGAAGCACGTTCATGGAATCCAAACACAGCAGAAAGAGACCGTTTGATTGATCGAATCTGAACAAACGTTCCGAAGGACATCTACCAAAGTAGGATTAATGACCAATGGTTGAATTAGATAATTAAGTTTCGACAGTGAGAATAGAAAAAAAAAGATATTAGATATTGAAAATGAGGGTTAACTGAATCTCTTGAGCAGAATAAAAAAAAGAGTAGGTGCATTCTGAAGAGGGAGATCCGGAAGGCAAAGAGGGGATATGAGATAGCGGAAAGAATAATCCGAGGAGATCCTAAAAAAAAGACATTTAAAGCAACACAGTAGCGAGAGAGAGAGAGAGAGAGAGAGAAGCCTCTTGTGGAATGAGGAAACAAATTGTGTGAACTACAGATTTTGTAATCTGAAAATCAAATCAACTCGTTAAGTACACTTGCACTCTTCTGTCGAAAACCGCCTCATGGTTTCTACGTATTGGCGGGATTTTCAAATTTGTAAGAAAGCGTTTAACGATTTGGCGCCATTTTCCCTGCCCTCCTTCTCAGCCATAGTCACAGTTATCAGAAAAAAGAAACAGCAGATGCTGGAATCCAAGGTAAACAAACAGGAGGCTGAAAGTAGAGCTCGAGGAAAGGCCAAGGGAAGCAAAAAGCAGAGGTTTTGTCGTGAATTTCTAATTTGGATACAGGGATCCCGTACTTCAATTATTTTGTGACTAATTTAAACCTCAATTTATAATTAAAATACGCTTGAGTTTTAATTTAAATCACACAAATGTATCAGTCCTACGCACTTGTGTTTTTTTCAGACAGATGCAGTTCCTGCAATTACAGCTGAATTAGCCCGGTGCAATAATGGTAAGACATGGAAATATAACACCGAAACGCACATCATGCATCAGTTCGGCTCTTTTTGGATAGTTTAGTGGCTCTGAAAAGAGCCGTTGGGTTTCTCAGGGTTAACGTGCAGGGCCAGGTACGCTCCGTTTAAGCGCGCTCCCCGCGGATCCGGCGGGCCAGCTGGATGTCTCTGGGTATGACAGTGACTCGCTTGGCGTGGATGGCACACAGGTTGGTGTCCTCAAACAGCCCCACCAGGTAAGCCTCCTGCAGGGCCATCACAGCCGAGCTCTGGAAGCGCAGGTCGGTCTTGAAGTCCTGAGCGAACTCCCGCACCAGGCGCTGGAAAGGCAGTTTGCGGATCAACAGCTCGGTCGATTTCTGGTAGCGGTGGATCTCCCGCAAAGCTACCGTGCCGGGTCTGTAGCGATGAGGCTTCTTCACTCCGCCCGTGGCCGGAGCGCTCTTGCGGGTAGCTTTGGTCACCAGCTGCTTGCGGGGAAGCTTTCCCTCCGGTGGATTTGCGCGCTGTCTGCTTGGTTCTGGCCATTCTCTGCAACACACTTACACGCTGCTGCTATCAATGCTGAGCCTTCTGCGGTGCTGCCTATTTAAGGGAATTGAAGAGCCCGCCTTAGAGCTGGGATTGGATACAGTCCCGTCCCTCAACCCACTGAGAAACAGCTGCGGAAGGTACAGAAAAGGCAATAAAATAGTTTTGTTGGAGTCTGATTGGTTAACTTGAAATGACAGATGGCAATTTCAAAAAGCCCGCCGATTTTACCCTCGCAATCCTGAAATTAAGTTAAATATTTAAATGCAAAATAAAGTCCAACGACGATAAAATCTGTACTTTGTGGGATTTCCTTTTAAACCTAACTTGCAGTTAACGCGGATAGGACGCGGGATCATTGCCTGATCTGCCCGTAACAGGTCGGAGGAAAGCGCGGGGTTCTAACACAGCCCAGACTTCTGAAGAAGGGTCCAGGCCCGAAACGTCAGCCTTCCTGCTCCTCTGATGCTGCTTGGCCTGCTGTGTTCATCCAGCTCCACACCTTGTTACCTCAAACTAATCAACCGGCCGTGTCACCTCCGTTAATGAATCTAAATAACACCGCCGATTTAAGCATCTTCAAAGCTAATAGTGTACGCTAAAAAAGTTACACAATCTCAATTTATCGGCTCATTTTTCTTTCACCCAGTTAGAATTAGTCCGAAAACTGTAACAGAGTGTAACAACAGGGCATTAAAACATCTGCAGGCTTCCCCGAATGAAAACTGAACTGAATATCATTCCTGGAAGGAATGAAATAGAAATACTGCAATCTGTGACATTTCACATCAGGGCAGAATTACAATTCGAGATATGGAATAACCAGCTGCGGGATACTACACCCTCTCTATGTGCTGCCTTTCCTGTGCTCAGGTCTCCGCTCTCACTTGGAGGGTTTGGATGGCTCTGAAAAGAGCCTTTTGGTTCGCTGGAAAAGGGTCGATTTGCTCAGCCGCCGAACCCATAGAGAGTGCGGCCCTGGCGTTTCAGAGCGTACACCACATCCATGGCAGTGACCGTCTTGCTCTTGGCGTGCTCAGTGTAGGTGACCGCATCCCTGATCACATTCTCAA